TGCAAATAGACATATAAACTCAATTTCAATTAGCTCACAACCTATTATTACTATTTTTTTACTCTTATATTATTATCATTTTCATTACTACATACTATTATTATTAATATTAATAATGATTACAGAACTTTTCACAAAAACCTTAACAGTCTAGTCATATGAACAAAAAATTAATTATTGTCTCAGTTTATTCATAGTAAAAAAAAGTTAATATGAAAATTTTAAAGTTTGTCATTGCCCTATTAAACCTCTTATATGCTCTGTCAAGCTTATGAAACCACAGGAAATGTCTTTTCTAGAATTTCTTTTTACTCATTCTTGATTTTGACTTTCTATGCAAAACTAGCGTTTGTTTCAGATGGAGAGACTGAGGTTGATCTGCTTGTCCCCGTCGAGAGTGCTCTCAACAGTGACCCGAGAGTGTTTCGAGCTAAGGGCATCGATAGCTTACCAGCTATCGGAATTCAGGTAATAACACAAAAGGATTTCATCGTACACTTTCTAGTATAGTAAATGTATCTTCTTTTGTATATTTTCAAGGTCATTGAGGTGTTCCAGTACTTTCTTAAAGTAAAGATGTCAAGATTCTATCCTTAATTAGATTTCTGCCTACAGATGCCTCGTGATTTATCTCTTTGCTTTTCTCTATCCAAAAGAAAAAAGGAGATATATTTCGTTTGCACTCAAAATCTACCGCACTCAGCTCATTATTATGTTACATGGGTTCTGAAAAAAAATGAAATCGTGCCCTTTAGAAACTTTTAGGTGCCATTTATGCAAACCTCTTATCAAAAGGTTTATAGCATCAAACTGGATCAAAATGCTATCTAGTGATGGAAAAAGATAACTTCGCAGCAAATGCTTCCAATTATCTTCATTTCTCTAAAATTCCTGATAATTAAGATTTCTCCTATTCTAATCACGAGTTACGGGAACACTCTTGATACTTGCATCTAAAGCTGCCCTTTTCAAGTTTTTTTTTCTTAAATCGTCGAAGGAGTGCTAGCAAGGGGTACTATACTGTCTTTATTATTGCGACCATTTAAACGTTATATCAAGAT